ACATGCAACAAGGCAGCGGGGCCCTGCCTTTGCCCCCTTTGCCTGGTCTGTCGGGTACATGCAACAAGCCAGCGGGGCCCTGCCTTTGCCCCCTTTGCCTTTGCCAGGTCTGTAGGGTACAGGCAACAAGGCGGGAAGGTGTCAGAAGTTGGCGCTTTGAGGCCTTCCCGCCCGGCAGCCCCTCGAAAAGAGGGGCCGGGGCTGGCAGCCCCCCCCCCTTCAAAAAGTTAGATCGGGGGGGGGCCTCCAGCCCTGAGCCCTGGAACATATATGACTCAGGGCCGAACGCCCCCACCCTCCCCCCCCTGCTCCTTTCTTGTATCAACTTCCTCTATAAACAGTGACGTCGAAGAAGTGCAAGTATATCAATGAACTTTTCATATTGCCAATGCCACACTCAGTTTCACTTTCAAGACAACTGAACTCCTACTCTACCAGCGACTCAATTTTACTTTCACTTTCTACTTCACCTTATTACGCAGTGTACTCTCGACGCAACCGCATCAACGTCGCAAAAAAACTTGCTCGACCATCTAGCAGACGCTGAGTATGAGATCTGGCAAAAGTATTACCATTTGCTCGGCTTGACTGATGCGAGCGGAAAGATTCGCTTGAAGGTACAGCTACAGACTAACTTGTAGCTCTTTCTACTAGGTGTAGTTAGAGTTCACTTCATTCGTGGTTCTTGTTTTTCATCTCTACTAGAATTCTTCATGAAGTGGAACTTAAACTACACGAGTTTGTGGCTCATGAATACCATAGGTATAGGCTGATAGTCAGTGTCAGACTAACTTGTAGGTACAGACTAACTTTTAGGTCTTTCTAGTAGGTGTAGTTAGAGTTCCACTTCATGTTCAAGCAGCACTGTTCTCACTAATTCGAAGCTTATGCCAATCATACCGACCTTAGCAGGACGTGTTTCATGTCAACGCTCTTGCTTTTCATCTCATTCGTGGTTCTTAGATCATCAACTCTTTCCTTTACTTTAGTTCGTTCTTTTTAAGAGGTTGAAGGTTAGTGTCAGAAATACAAATACTGCTAGTGATGTAGAGAAACTAGACCCACTGATCAACGCCATCACTCAGGGACACATCGGCCACATAGTCGTAGATGATGAGGAGGCGCAGAGCATTTTTCGCTTATTGCTGTCGGTCGAATCCGACAGCAAGGCAGTCCGGAAAGTGTGTCTCTACTTCGCTACGCTCCCGAACAGAACGGTAACTTTGTTTTTGCTCTTTTTGTAAATTTTGCATTCTCCTGATAGATTAACTCGACGACTACTCTCTCCGCATTTCTTAAAAATGTCTGTCAATGCCTTGTTTTGTACAAATCATCATGACAAACAGGATGAAGACGATATGAGCTTGGGCCGCTGGTTGCGCAAAACACTACCGGGAATATATACGAAGAGCAAGAGTATTGCGGATAGATGTCGGGTAGTCGTGGACGCAGAGCCGACCACTTTGGTACTACAATTGTACTACTAATAGATGCTACGAGTCGTAACGACTACCCCCAGCTGCACTAAGTACTATATAGCTCAATACTCTTTTGATTTTGAAGTCGGGTAAAGTACAATACTTGAGAAGCTGTATAAGCAACTAGACATTTTATGGGATGCTAGTAACTAAGAACTGGACCTTTGAAGTGCTCTTACTCTCTCCGAATTTTCAGAAGCAACGGCGCCGAGGTAATGACTTTGGCACTGGATACAGTGGTATAGTATTCAAGTCGGACAGATGCATAGACAACTTGCTCAAGTTCATCGAAGATTATGGCCAGTCACACTCACAGTCTATCATCTTTGCTCCACGGCGACGACCTACTAGGGTCCGTATGCGTTCTTTAGATACAGGTTGACAGTACTTCTAAAAGAATTGTGCGCTTTGGTATTGTACTAGGGTCACTCTCACTCACTCTCAGAGTGACGCTCTAACATCAGGAGGGGAATTTCTCAGGCACTAATGGAAAGAGCTCTTCACTGCTATACCGGATGATTATGGCTATTGTCGAAGTCCAACGACAACGATTCTCATGAAATAGAGTTGATCTTGATTCTTCTTTTTTTCAATTCCAGAAAAATACAAAAAGGTATACCAGTTCATCTTTGTCTTCGCTCATTTCATTGTCAACATGTTGAATTAGCAAAAGACGGAAATGCTTACCATGAGGCGGTCTCCGTTGCTCTGTGTAAGAATTGCTTCAAATAACTTGACCATGGAGTGTTAGACATGAAGCACATGACCATGGCCAAAGATGACAACTGTACCCTCGCCACAAAATTTGATACGCACGCGGTAGCAGCTCTATCTCTAACAAGGACAGGCAGGAGATGTCCGATTCCGACGCACAAGAGCATCAAAAGGGAGACGGGTGGTAGTAATACCTTCCTGGTGTCGTGGGTTTGGGTTTTACTCGGTGATAATAGATCAGCAGAAAGCTCAAGACTCGGAGTTTCAATTCCACTGACCAGCACTCCGTCTTATCGCACAAAAAAACGCTATCATTATCGTTTTTTTGATTTTCTCAGCTTAAAAAGCCCACTAGGTTGCAAGAGCGGGGATATAGCGGCACGTCGTTGGCCGAAGTTGGGCTTCACCAGGCACAGAGGTGCCTGCTATTTTGCATATTTATGATTGAGAAGAGTGATGCTTTGTGAGGTTGAAGCAATGAAGTTACTCATCGGGTGTGGCCTTTCTGTGCATTTACTGAGCTCTCATAAGTGTGCTGGTGGTCGTTGTGAAGAACCACCTCGCAACCGCTTACTTGGCTTGATCCGGGTTCACGTCTTCGACAATTAAAGCCAAGTCCTCAAATTGGCCGCCAGAACCCCAGCTCCCGGATCCACAATAGCAGCAAGATCTGTTATGTTTGAGAGTCGAAATTATAAGGGAGGGGTGGCTGAGTTCTAGATATTCACCGCTTGACATTGGAGGAAATCTGAATAGATTCTAGTCTTGGAGGTCTGCCTTGTGATCCTCTGAAAGTAAGATCATAAGAAAGGAAAAGAGGAAGATCACAACCGAAGACACAAGACCCCGCCAAGTATATAAGCAGTCACTCTTTTCCTATGTGCAGGGTTTTTGTCTAGCGTTTTAGCTCGAAAGTAGCGAACTGCTGGAGGGCCATGGGATGCAATCCTCGAGAGATCGAGGAGTGGTCACTCAAGACCCTCCGAAACATTCTCAGCGGCCACTTTACAATACAACAAATTCCCGAGTTTCTTGCTGATGTTGCTGTGTGTCCGCTGTCAGAGTTAAGACACTTGGCCCCAGTAGACAACTTCACAGATTCGAGCCGGTACTTACTTATTCAAATGAAAGGGTCTAAGACTGACCCTAAAAAATGGATGAAGAACGTTCGGCACTCACTAAAAACTAAAGCAAAAAGCTATCATAGTACCGCTCTCGTGGGCCTCTCCAGTCGGAAGCGAGCGGCGCTAGTCGTGCCCGTGAATCAACACGTTGACTACGCGCAGATCGACCTTGATCAACCAGAGTACTGGGTTGCCCGTGGATATCTCGCTGGTCACTTGCTGAAGATGTGGGAGGCGTTTCCAGCATTCTCCTTGTCCAAAGTTGGCGAACAAACATCGACTACCCGCAATCAATATATTGAAAACCGCCTGCGCAACCAGTTTGCCGAGGCGATGAAGGCATACGGCGCTTCATATGCGATCAGCGGAAAGGGGTTCGGGCCACTCGATGGCACGCTTACACTGCGCCGCGGCAAGACTATCCGGTGTCAGGAGCGCGTTATGAAGTTCAAACGGGATAGGGGGAAAAAGGTGGTGGGATTATTTGCAAGCACTAAAAGGTAGTAACGGTCTGAGTTATTAGCTTAGGAGTAGCCTGCTAGAACGAGCCTGACCTGGAGCATTTATAACAATCCCGATGAGTCTACATGAGTATGAGGCTGTGCAGAATTATGCCTGTAGAGGTTGGAAGGGGGGGGCATATTATCAGTGACGCCGTGAACATAAGGCGCCACCACTCGAAGCGCAGCGCTTCTCCATCCACAAAACACTCTCCCACAGGAAGAATGGCAAAGGGTACGAAATTGGCGAAGTGGACGCGCTGACGCTCCATGTCCGTAGGTCCCCATCGGCGGAGCACGTTCTCCACGGGACCTTCTGCCTTCCAATCAAGGAGCTGCAGCAGCAAGGATTTGCGCCTAAGCTAGGCAACTCCGAAAGCAGGCACAGTCTGATCTTCATTATTCTGGGACACAGGTGCAAGTAAGTCGCTACCTCCATAGCAAGTCGTCGCCTGGCTATGTCCTCCTCTTGTAGACAGGGGCTGGCGGGTAGTTGCAACCCTAGATCCAGCAGAGCTCTTTCAGATCAGTGATGTACGGACTCAAGTTGAACTAAAACGAGAACCAACTAGAATGAAAGTCGATCCCCATAATCGTCCACAACTCGAACGAGATACACAATTCAGGTCAAGCGATTGTCTCCCGTGGCGCAAAGCAGTCGCATTGTATCCGAGACTGGGTCTCGAATATGTTCGATACCCAAAGACGAGCTGGGCCGATGAGTACTTTACTCCAGCACAAAAAAACGAGCCAGATGTCAGTGGTGGCCTGGAGGTGCTCACCCGTCTCGCCTCTGCGAGCCAGCTTGCCTCCTGATAAGTTCGACGAAGTGGCAGCACAGACACACAAACCGCTGTTGCTGCATGGATGCGGGAGCTGCACGCATACAGCAGCGAGGAGGCCCTTCCAATTATGAAGGTGCACCCCGAGCTTACGCCCGAGTGGACCGCCAAGGCGGGCGCTTCGAATTGGGAAAGTTGACTTGTTGTGTGAGTCTGCGCCAAGTCGCTACTGGCTAGGCTAGTGAACTTCTTCCCAATCCCATCATCTTGAACTACATAGCTCCCACATGTAACACGCTACCCATTCTAATGGAACATGCGCAAAATTTCACGAACGCAGTCGAGCCACATGACTGTCGACAGTGGACGAGAATCATCATACAAGTGCGGAAGTTGTTGCGGCGTAAGTTTTGCGACCTTCTATGGGACTAGATTGAATGACAAGACGCTACTGCTTGGATATGGTTAAGAGTAATATCTTGCGGAAATACTCGAGGACGTGAAGCTTCTCGATAATAGTCTGCCAGTGGCTTAAGAAATAACAGAGCTAAAGCCTTTGATGTGAAATGTGACAACTACTACGGTGCAAGAATTTTACCAGACAAGAACGAGCTAGATGCGGAAGCTGGATTCAATTTCGTGTCTTAGTTGCGGGCGTGACTGAGTATTGCCCAAAGTTTTTCTTGCTTCTGTCTTTGTCTGCCTGTGTTCCACACTAAAACTCAGGCTGTCGCCTAAAATTCTACTCGTCTGTAATTTCGTGGTTCTGTGTTTCTCTCTTTTCCTGCGCGTTCATGTGTTGAGGCTCGAGAATGGTTGGAGAGAATTTTATCTGTCTATGATGCTTCTGGGAGTGCAACAATAAGAGAATGATGACAGACATTTGATAAAGTGACTATCCTAGTATAGACACTTTTGGAACTTTCGCATCAGTCTGAGTCTTATAGTGCTTATGTAACTAACCTCATCCCATAGCAGGACTTATTCCCCTTTGTTCCCTTTCCAAGGTGTGCTGCAAATCTTGATTGGCTTTCGCCCTTTGGTGAAGGTTTAGGCCCTGCGGCGCTCAAAGCACTAAGTAAAACAACCGGTTAGTTTTCACCTTGATTACAATCGTAGACTTATCCCGTGCAACAATATATTTTTGAGTGCAGGTAGACTCGATATCCACCAGGCAAAGAGTGCCTGTGCGGACCGGGTCCCGGCTCCCCCATAACAAATAAATGAAATAATGAAAGTCACTAATTAGCTACACATTCCTCCTTCCATGACCTTGCCTCTTTTCGTGTGTTGTTCGTTGTTCTCCTAACATTCGTTGTCTCTTCTTCCTTTTCAATCCTCGAGCATCCGGTTAATGCACACCAGCTTCTTGTGGCAAGGTACTACACATTGGCCCCTCACACTAACTTTTAACACACCTTATATCCTTCTACACATACTAAACAGTGTGTAAAAATAATACTAACCACTATATTTAATAACATACAAATATAAGGCATGTTGCAGTTTAAATATATTCAACTGGTACCAATCGAATCGAGTACCAACAAGACGGTGAAGACAATAGCTGCCAAAGCCCAAAGTCTAGTGAAACGTGTGCACCTGCATGGCCTTAGCCCTGCCGCAAAACGGAAAAAATTAATATTGGAAAGCACCACTCTACAACAAGGGCGTGATCAATGTTCTCGTCTACTACAAGAGCAACCCATGAGGCTGGACGACCATCAAGAAGCCCTCCAACAACAAGACGCGCTACCAGCAGAAATATCTGCGTCGCAGATGGAGCCTCCTGCAGTCCACATCTTGCACATGCACAATGATGAACCAGGACAGCCTGTGGATAATAAATGTGACCAGATTTCGCTTGCGGGTCACCAGTGTGCTGACGAGGTTCTTGTAGACCCTATTGCTGATGATGATGAACCGAGAGCAGTAACCGCCTTTGGTATCAAGCAGAAGCAAGAGCCTAGTAATCCATCTAGTAGTCTGTTGCACTCCAATAACAATACGAATGCTGACAAAGACCAGCTCAGCCTGAAGCATATGTTTGACCTCAGCGCCCCCATCCGCCAGAAGGGAATGCTTTTTGCCCTGCACTCGGGCTGGAAAGAAACTGATGCTGTAGCTTGCCAACATACATCGGACAACTGGAGGCCGATTTCAAAAGCGATCAAACCATGTGGAAGGTGCTCATTTTGTAAATTTACACCACGGTCATACGACGCCATCGTTATTGGTGACACTCGCTACCACCTGAGCACGAACTTGCTTGACATCCATTGCCACGACGACCGTGTAGATAAGGTTTACCTTATCAAGTGTGACTGTGGATACAAATGCGTTGGCATTACTCGCGACTCCGCTAACGACTCAGCGTATTGCCGGTTTGACGCTCATGCAAACTCGTCATCTCTACCCGAACTCCCACAGCCGTTATACAACCACACATGTGCACTTTCGGGGCATCGACTTAGCTTCCAAATCCTCTATGTTGCGGATCCGTGCGATGACTTCAAAATGTCTCCAAGGAAAGACGTGGGATCTACCAACTTACCGGCGCCAGCAATCTCTTCATTGGAAATGATCGAGAGCTTCTTCATCATCAGCCTGAAGACCTTCTATCCTTACGGTGGAAACCTACAGTTTTTCTGTCCACGAACATTTAGGCTTTTTCGTCCTCGCTTCTCACCTTGGAAATCTATAGCACTACAACTGGAACTGGCGCACTCATATGCAGACGACCGATTCAGCACGCTTACTACTGTCAAGGAGCCTACGAGTACGTCACAAGTTCGGCGACATGCTCACCGACAAGTCCAAAGATACGAAGTTTCTGCTTTTGCAGCAAAAAGAGGAAAAAACATTGCAGGTCGAATCTTAGATACTGCACGCCATGCCTCACCTCCACGCAATATTACGGCGCAGCAGGTGATGGCATTTAGTTCTCCGGTGAAGACGCATAAGCAGTATGATGATATATTCTGCCTAAGCCCCGCGGAAGTAAGTCACCAAATCGAGGTCAGCCCTATCAATCTATTTCCTGACGATGCTAGCCGTGCCATGCAATTGCATGACTTGGATGAAGCTGATGAAGAACGTTTCTCCAGTATGCCCGATGCAACGCCTCAACTGGTACCAGAATCCTCAGCCGCGCCTTCATCAAGTAGTAGCTCCAGATCGATCTTGGAACAAGACTACTCAATATGCAGCAACAACATACCTCTCGACTGCTTTCACCTCCCTCGTCTTGCGAAGAAGCATCACCATAATACGGCTGCCCAGATTAAATCCTTTGCGGAAGAACTGTGGAAGATCATCTTTCGAACAAAAGCCAAGCCTTCCGATTTCTATTGCATCGAGAAGCTCTTCATACACAAGGCGCCAAATAATCGTAGAAGTCTACTCAACCTTTGGTCTATCATGAGCAAGCACCCACGCCTCCCGCCACACATGAAGGACTACATCAGTGATCTCATCTTCCACAAACTTCGAGACACGCCAAAAATAAAGGAGAAACCTCGGACGCCTATTATCCTCTGCTACCACAACAACCTCATGAAGCGGATTAGTTTTACGAACATCTTCCGTTCCTTCAACTTGCTGGATAAGTTCATGATCGCATGGTCTTACAGCCAGCCTCTCCTGCGCTTCAACACATACAAGCGTGGCAAGCTTGGCGCCGACGTCCTGAACAACGTGCATAATGTTGGGTGCCCTTGTCGATCTTTGTCCACAGTTTTACCGCAGTCTTGTTTTCGGCTTGGACACTTATGCATTCCTGTGGATACTATTGAGGACATTCTTCCAGAAGCTGACGCCAAAACTTTTACCAAGAGCAAGCACCTACTGCAGCACAACTTCCGCACATCTGCAAAGTTCTCCATGGAGGCCCTATTATGCCGTGTCAAGGGTAATCCAAAATACAGCCCGCCACTAGTGAACCTTATCCGAACTGCTATTGGTACGCACTTGGATTCGCTTCGTGAGGATGCTGACTTTTCTTGGGAGGGACAAGAAGGAGATGATTACGATGATTTCTTCGAACTCTTTGGCCGCATCTCGAAGTTCCTCGCTTTTACACCATTGGACAAAATCCGTAACAAGTGGTTCGTATGTAATCCGTTTTACGATCTACTTATTGCTGATGCTGCTGGTTTAGTGGACTTTTTTGACCTACATGAACACAGTGCACATATTAAAAGCCTCCCGCAGCCAAGTACTCTGGTGCCGAATTTCGACAAAGCTGAAACTTTAGATGCACTGGCTTCCAGACTTTCGCAGCAATATGACGATGACCCTTGTGTCAGTCAGACTCTGGCTGATGTCGACTCTTCACAGACCGAAGCTGAGCTGTTGGATATGCAGGACTTCGTCTTACCACATGTTGACCCTCCGGCTCCACCGTGCCCAGTACAAGGCCCCCAGATGCCATTTGATCGGTACCGTTCTGGTTACGGCATGCGTTGTGGCCACATCATAAATCAAAACTATAATCTCGCACGGCGATACATCACGACGCCCCGGCCTGAGACGATAGCTTTCCCGTGGCAGAAGACCATGCTCCCGGATAAGATTGTTCAACAGTCCGAATTCCTAAAAAATCCTGTCCTTTCTCGAGTTGCTGCCTTCCATGACCATGCGTGCCTACTTTGCAATCGCAGCGAGTTCGTTACGTCAGTACTACTTTGGGTTATTAGTACTAAGAACGTCCCGAACTACACGCACTTCCGCCCTCACGCGAAGCCACTCCGCTACACATTTTCACGTGAACAGGCAGCGTCTGAAGATGCTGCAAACTTGTCTGCTCTGCGTCATGGCCTCGCAAACATATGCCGCCCATCACAAATCTCGCAAAGTGATGCAGATCATCCTATCGCAGCACCTCGAAGCAAGATGACCCTCTTTATCGCACCTATCCTGATTCCACCGATAGCGCACTACGACAAGGATAAGGATCATACTAGTGCTGGTCTCCACATCTTTAACGCCCCCCTGGTGAGGGATATCGAACTAGACAACACATTCCGACTCCTGCCGTCGCCTACTGAGCGTGGTTATGAGCGCGTGCATATGTCTCCGGCGGATGTCCTAAAACACGTGAAGGATAAGCTGCCTGCTTGTATGAGGTGTTTGTGCCTGGAAAAGAACTTGCCCACCATCCACACTCCGCCAAAATTGCACAAGGACCCCGAGCACAAGTTTCGCCCTGTTTGTTCCGTCACCGATACGACTATGCTCTCTCTCCCACGGCAGTACCTACGATGCCTATTGGATAACGTATGCTCTGGACTTCCCTCGGGTTTCTCGGTCAAGGACTCTCGTGCGGCAATTGATAAATTCAAGCAGTCCCGGTTTCACGTGATGCACAAAGGTGACTTCAGCGACATGTTCACCAAGTTCAAGCATGACACCATGATCAATATCGTTGACCGTCAAGTCCGCCGTTTCTATCAAAAGCAGAACATTGCAGCAATTGGGGTGCACTCCTCGTGCAAATTTGCATACCAGTACCGTCTGGTTCCCAAGAAGAAGCCTGCTGGTATGCTGTTCTTCAACGTTGACGAAGTAATGCAGTTGGTTCGGCTATGCATTGAGAACAACTTTGTTCTGGTTTTTGGGCGAGTTCTCAGACAAAGCGTTGGGATCCCAATGGGTGGGCCTGCGTCTAACGCC